TTGCTCTGGAGACGAGAGCACCGTTTTCACCCCCCTTCCTCCATTCCAGTCCATCACATCTTTCCCCTTCAATAGATAGCATCTTAACTGAACACGCTCAGTCTTTGTTGGGCTATTTTGAGCTTTCTTAACTTTTCTTTCTTTTGCTTCCTGCCTCCTTTGCCCACAACCCTTCTTCCTCTTAAGCAAACCTTGATATTTCTCTGGGCTTACTCCTACTTGTCTCTTTCTTGTTTAAGGATAACAGGGGTGGATATGGCTATTTTGACTACATAAGGATCCACATTCAGAGAATCAGTTAGTCTTTTATATACAGGTATCAGTTTAACAATGTAGTGCTTTCTAGTCAGTACAACTAGTAGCAAGATTCTACTGAAAAGTGACTTTTCAAAAGTATTAAAAAACAAGATCCGATCAGATCATATTTTGGTAATCCAAAATCTCTGGAGAGTACCATGTTTCTAATCTCAGGTGGTGTCAGAATCCTTGCAATCAATTTACCACATTAATTGCCAGCTTGCTTGCTTGCTTCAGTTCTGCCATTAAGAGACATGGGGTGGGGGGTGCTGGAAGGATCTGGAAAGATGGGTGGAAGAAATGACCGTTAGAGGCAGATGGGCTGTTATCAAGGACTGAGGAACGCTCAAGGTCGTGCCACCGAGCGGCTGTGAGAAGACTGGGAGGTTAGGGGGGTGCAGGGGGGAAAGGAAAAAAAGGTAAAAGCAACTTTTGGCGCGCGCAGGCTCAGTCTTAGCAATGCCTTGGAACTGTACACCTGTTCTCAATAAATGAACTTTTTTTTGAACCATTACTGGTTGCAAGGAGAGTTACTGAAGTTGGGAGTTATGAGTGGCAGATCGTTACAAGTGGGTGCATACAGAATTTGGCATTTGCATTTTTTATAATTCCCTGTATATTTTAATGTTTATCCAGGATTCTGAGTGTGATTTTTCTCTTCAGTAGTTTATTCTAATAATCAGAGAACTGATTGTTGACCCTCAAAAGTTTGAAAGACTAGGAAATGGGGAATTGGGAAAAATAAGTTAAGATCAAGGCTTTTGGGAACTCTAGCCGGAGATAGGAGGTCAGAGTGGTGGATGTTTTCTTGCACAGACTCAATGAAAATTTGCAGGTCACTTTTCTGCTCCAATGAAATTCCGTTGACCCACTGATTCTGAGGCAGCTTTCAAATGCCACAAGATTCTAGCAAGAGAAGTTCAAATACCTGAAGTAATGGCAGTTAGACATCTCTTCTTCAGTTTCCAAGTCAGTTCAGAGGAAATGCATTTCTGCTTGGGCCTTTGATTTAGAACAATTGTTACCTGGAATTTTAGGCTTCATTATTAGTCTTATAATAAAGATGATATTAGCATTTTAGCATGGCATCCTTGCCTCCTTTTGAAGTTCAGGAAACCGTGGGTTTTTTTTGGGGGGGGGGTTTAGCCAAAGCCATTTCTATTTTTGCTATGCAAGAACTAACCTTTTCAGCAGCTAAACAATAGGGAGCGTATTGGGAAGTCCTTGAATAAACTTGCAAGTATTAAGAAAGATACAAACTCAACTGGGAAAGGGAGTGACATAACCCATAAATTTGCCACTTGTAGTGTTGCCTTTAAAACTCAGGCACCCCGAGTGGCATGGAGCTGAAGACCTATTCCCTGAATTTGGGAGAGAAAACCATTTTACCTTTGCAAAGGTGGCTTCTTAGCCTACCTGAAAATACAAATCACCCAGTAATTCAGACAAAGCAAAAAATGTCTATTAAGGGGGAGTCAAGTCTTTTTATAGGGTACAGAAACAAATGATACATACATTCAGTATGTGATACATCAGAAAGCAACTAATCAAACAAAAAACATTGATTACATATGATAATTGAACAATAGAAATATTGATTCCAAGTAACATTCCACAAGTGGCAAATTTATGGGTTATGTCACTCTCTTTCCCAGCCAGGTTTGTATCTTTAAAACTTGCAAGTGTATTCAAGGACTTTCAGAATACACTTGCAGCTCTCTGTTGTTTAGTTGCTGAAAAGGCAAGTTCTCAAATGTACCAAAAGAAATGGCCTTGGCCCAGAAGCAAAACATGCTTTCCTAAAGTTAGAAAAGAGGCTTAGACTGCCATGTTAAAAATGCTAATATCACTTTTTTAAAATGCTAATAATGAAGCCTAAAATTCCAGGTAACAGTAGAATGTTATCTAGGATCAATGTTTTCAATTGTTTAATTCTAACATCTAATTAAAGTCTTCTATTGTTTGATTTGTTGCTTTCTGATGCATCACATATACCAAATGTACGTATCATTTGTTTCTGTACCCTATAAAGAGACTTGACTCCCCTTAATAAATGCTTTTTCCTTTGCCTGAAGTACTCATGATTTGTGCTGTCATTCATGCTATCCAGAGGGGCAAAAAAGCCACTTTGCAAAATAAGTCTGTCTCCTAAATTCAGGGATTAAGTTTTTATCAGCCCCACAGTGGCTGAATTTTAAAGGCAACACAACTGTATTCTCAAATGAACTTAATTCTCAAGGTGGGCAGTGAAAGTTGTTCCTGTTATAGCTGCTCACATGGAACCAAAATCTGATCTTTTCACATATGCTTAAATGTATACTTGCATTGCTGCTTCCTGTATTATGATTCCTTCACTGCAGCCTTTCCCAAGACCAGCATCCTCAGGACATGGAAAACTACAATGACCTTTATCCTCAGCCAATGCCATCAGAGGTTCCGCTCAGGAAAATCATCAGGCAGAACCTCTGAAGGTGCCTACTTCTGCCTGATTCACTATCATGACGGTGTTGCCTGGAATTTTAGGCTTCGTTATTAGCATTTTAAAGGTGATATTAGCATTTTTAGCATGGCAGTCTATGCTTTTTTTTAACTTTAGGAAACAAATGTTTTTTTCCTTTCAGCCAAAGGCCACTTCCTTTGAAGTGGGGGGGGTGGGAACTAGCCTTCTCAGAAACTAAACAGTGGGAGTATATTCTGAAGTCCTTGAATATACTTGCGAGTGTTAAGAAAGAAACAAACCTGGGTGAAAAAGGAAAGGTTGCAACCCATAAATTTGCCACTTGTGGAATGTTATCTAGGACCGGGTCTTCTATTGTTTGATTTGTTGCTTCATGACCCACCTATCACAAATGTCAGACGTATGTAATTCTAAATAAAGACTTGACCTCACACTCTTAATAAACACTTTTTGCTTTGCCTGAAGTACTCATGGTTCATATTATTGCGAGTGGAGGGGGAGTCACTTTGCAAAGGTCTTGAGTGTTTCTCTTTCAAATTCAGGGACTAGGTTCTTTCCAGCTCCATGCCACTCGGGTGCCTGAGTTTCATAGGCAACAACAGAATGTTCTTTTTTCAGCTCCCCTATGTGAAACTTTACCCAGAAAGGCTGTGCTTAGGCAGCGTGTCCTCAGTATCTTGGCTGAAACAACAGCAGCACTTCTGCTAATGTGTTAAGGTTCTCAGCATCCCTGTATAAGAAGGAATTAGTGTGGCATTGAGTTCCTGTTTGCCCTCCTGTGTAATGCTCTAATAAATTAATAGGAGGGGAAGTAGCTGGCCAGAAATTAATGTTGGAGGATGTTCTTTATTTCCCAGCTTTCCTGGAGGATAGTTGTTGTTGCATCTAATCTGGCTCAAAGTCACCAAGAGACTCCACGTTCAAGTGAATACTTGAACCTTTGCTTCTTTGGATCCATCCAGTACTTTAACAATCTTAAATTCTCTCCCTTCCCTTCCCTTCCCCTCCCTCTCTTTGTAGGATATTATTGATCTTACTAAAGAAGATATGGCTGTGAGAACAACAGCATGCAGTGACTTGGAGATAATTGATCTTACCGAGCCTGAAGAGGACATGGTCAGCTCTCTCCAGAACTGTAGCTACTTTGCCTGGGGCCTGAAGTCCTCAACTCCAGTCTCTCCTCCTAATTTTCTCACTGCTATTGATGCTGAGAGCAAATGTACTGTGCCAGTGGGCATGTGGGTTCAGGACTGTAAGCAATCTTCCCCTAAAGTGGATGTAGTGAAATCGGAGTACCTTCCAAGTAACAGCTTCTCTTGCCACTCCAACTACAGTGAGGAATCTGAAGGCAGCAGTCACACCACTTACAACAGTGATTTGGGCTCTTTGGGAAGCCCTCAGCTGGAATCTGATGTTTTTTCTTTCTCATCAGGCAGTGATAGCACTGAACACCCAACGTTCTTGGACTGTGTAGAAGCTCCTCAGGTTTGCCCATCTGAAGAAAACCCTAGCTTGCGGGTCTATCCCCTGCATCAGAGATTATCCCCAGGCCTCTGCTGCTCTTCTTTGAATACTTCCAAATCTGTAGCTGAAGCTGATCAGCCTTCGCTCCAGGCAAAAAGACCATGGAGTACCATGGAATCCAATGTTCAGGAACAATCCAAGCAGACTGATATCAAGGTCTGGTTGAAAACACTACCATATTGCCATAGGATGCCTGTGCATCACCCCTTTCTTCAAAATGTGGTATTGGAAAAGGAGTCAAGAAAGGTAATTTGCAGGAGATAGCCATATCCCAAGCAGGACTTTGAAATCCATATCCTGAGAACAATCTGGATTTTACAGTTTCTAAGATTCAGAATGATAGCGAGATACATTTGCTCCGTCACACATATATGCTTAGTTTAGATTGCAGAGCATAGTTTGATATGCAGGAAGCTGTGAGGTTGTCCAATTCAAATGAATTGACAGGTCTACATTTCCTACATTTCATAAACAAACCATGGGAAAATCATACTTTTTCATCAAAAAGTCAGTGCCACCTGCACTTGACACCAAGCTTATTTTAATTAGATGCTAACATGGTGGGGAACATAGCCATTTTTTCTTGGCAGGTTGTTTTTCTTATAATTTTTGGGTGTAAATATAGTAGGTGGTTTTATGTACACATACTGTACATCTGTTCTACTGAACCTGCAGATCCTAAGATTTAGTCTTCCCTTCTATCCAAAGCCAATGGTAGCATCAAAGCTGTTTGCACAACTAAAGATCTTTTTTCCAAGGGCATTACTTTTACCCCATTACAGTATTAAGGCATCAGCTTCCTAGTCCAAAAACAGTAGAAAAATGTTTTGGCATATGATAGAGATGGAGTGGGTCATACTGGGATTTTCAGCAGGCCTGGCCAGACTTTTGAGCATTATAATTCCACAGTTCAAGGCTTTATTATAAGAATTATGAACATCTTCTCCAAAATATAGCTTATAAAAGCAGTGTTCCTTTCTGATTTTGTTCAGATATCATCTAAGCCAAATTGTGATTTGTTTGGTTTTAGCTCAGTATGTTATGGAAATTCAGTCAACTGTACTAATTCAGTAAATTACAATGAAATAAACCATAAGTTTGCACAATGTGCAAATCTACCAAATCTCAACTATCAGGTGATGCCTTATTACATTCTGGTTTAACCGTTTTGTCTTGTTTTCTAAGAACTTAGTAACTAACAATCTCACTTCCTCTAGGAAGCACGAAGTTCATATTGAAATACATGTTCTAATTCCATGTCATCCTAGCAGTGTATGTTTCTTGCTGAATCTTCTTCCTTAATTGATTAATATATGTCAGACAGAACCTTAATTGATTCTTATTGTCAAACGGAATCTCTGGCTTGGATAATAAGAGGTAGAAGGCATCACACCAAAGAGGATGAGGATGAGGCCAAGCAGGTTGTAATATCCAACATCAGTTGAAGCTTGAGCCAAACAAAGCTATATAAATGCTCACTATAATGCATCCAGCATGATAAACCAAAATTGAGATCCCTAATGTGGTATCCGTGGGCACCTCCTTTAGCCACTACACCATTCTGTTAATTTCTTAAAGACTGTTGAAAAAGCAAGTACCAGCCTGTTTTCAAGAGAGTCCTTGGAGTCCATATAGACCTCTTAAAAAATAAAAATGGTAGATGGCTATAACCCAGTGTTTTGTTGGTAAATATATCTAGTGCCCTGAAAAAGACCAAACAATAGTAATAATGAATATCCTGGAGACAGCAGCTTGATATTATAATACACGTGAGATGAAGTCATTGTGCAAATAGCATGATTATGCAATGACTTCATCTCACATGTATTTAATAAAACTACATGAACCATGTCGTTTGTTTGATGATACCATCATGCTGGTATAGTCATTACTCTTCCATCCATTTGCCCTGCCCTCCAGTCATGCATACCTGTGGAGTGCATCAGGGAATCATCTCATCAGCCAGCTGATGGATATTGTATGATATTGGCCATACCTACTGTAGCAACCTTTTGAAAATGGGTAGGCCCCCACCCATTTTTTCTTTTCCTCTTTTTTGGAGAACCTATGAAATGTTCCTGCTGCTCCAAAAGAGGTTAGGGATCACTGAACTAGAGCAAACATTTTCTAATCTTCCCTTTTATGACAGCCGCCTTTGCAAAGTAGTGCTTAACATCACAGAGCTTTCAGTTTAGCTAAGAGGTTTAGTGTAAGACCAAACACACAAGTTCTTCTTCAATGCTAGTGATGATGCAAGCTTTGTGGGGAACTCTGAATTAGAACATTTTTCACTTTCAGCCTAAAATTGAAAGAAATATGATTCCAACCAATGTCTATAATTTATGTTTAATAAACGAAATTATTTTTAAAAATGGGCAAACTTACCAATAGAATTATCTGAAGAAAAATGTTCACCCCATATAATTGCTACCCAAATATTATATGCATGTTGAATTTCCTTTATGCACAGGATAAAAGACTAAAAGCCCAACCTATTCCATTCCGAAGATTAAACATGGTGTCCAGCACAATTGAAGAGAATTTTTTCCAGGGAACCTTGGATTTCCTTATGGATTATGTATCCTGTCAATACTACCCACCAAAAGAGGTCACAACCTGTGTGGTCAGGCAGATTCTGCTGAGCCCAGAGCATCAAGAGGGGCAACAGGAGATACAGAAGGATGCTTACATGTTGTTGATGAAAATCCAGGCGTAAGTATTCTCCCAATCCTTCTGTATTTGGTGCTGTTTTGTATCAGGCCACTATTCTTTTTTAGCTTTGTGGCTGTGGTATCAATTAAGATCATAACTAATGAGGCAAAGCTTCCTCCCCATGGCAGACATTTTCTTTGACTTGATTTCAAAATGTCATAAGTGCCTTGGGCTCAAAATGAGTAGGTATCCCTGCCCTAAACTGATGTGCCCTAAGTATTAATAGTCTCTTTTTTATATATATAAATAGGACCCATAAGGAATCAATTAGATTGGATTTAATTTGAAATGTGTTACATCTAAACTGTTTAGCAGCAAGTTTTGACAAATATATGATGATATAAAAAGCTTAATTCAAATTTTTAGACTTCATCCAGCAACAGCTGATACAGTGGTGTGGGACTGGCAACTGCTAAATGAGGTCATGGAAGTGCAGGTATGTTGATGAGCCCCCTTTGGATGAGAAGAAAAGCTCAGAAACTCCTTCTCCTGTCTTGTCCTTGCAATGAAATTAAGGGTTTCAGAAGCTGCCCTGTGTAAAAGCAAAACACTTCTCTTCTATTGGCAAAACAGTTTGAATCAAACCAGCCTGCCTAAGACTACTTTGAAGATATTGCAGAAAAAGCCACTGAAGTTATTGTTAGTGAACCAGAGCTTATTAAACAATCCATCTTGGAACCACACAGGGAGGAACTGAAGTAAATTAACCCTAATATATGTGGTTTTGATACAGCAAAATGGTCTGCTTTTCATACCTTGGGGATCTCTACATGTCCCCTGTATTCAACTTGAGAACCCTAATTGTTCTTGCAAAAATCTCTGCATAATGTAGCCTTCCTCTCATTCGTTGCTCACATTCAAGCCATCTGATTTCAAGTTTTCCTAAACCAAAGCTGAACTATATTTTTTACCATCTCTCAATGTTACATGCACTCCAAGGTTTGGCTTATGGTAAGTCACTCATACACTCACAACCTGTTGGGGCACGCAGATCTTGTAAGCCTCCCTTCCTTTGTACCTGGGTTTTCCAGATAGGTGCGGCTAGAGCAGACAAGACACACATCCCTGGTCAACAGCTGGGAAATAATTAGGAACACACACAAATCACTTTCAGTGGAATACTGAGGCACATCAGGTTCCTTGGAATACATGAAGACCCAATGAATTTAAAGTAGCAGCAAAACTTTACTGATTACAATGTGCATTTGCTCTCTCTCTCTCAAACCCACCCTCATCCCCATTTACCCACACCCTTCTCAACTAGGCTGCCAGGCATTAGCTAGAGGGACAGAAGCCACCAAGTCTGGATCCAGAAGGACTCAGAGAATGAGCGGGCTTCAGGACCCCTTTTATCCCCCAAAGTCCTTGCTTTGTTGATTTACAAATCTTGAGTTCTTGATGAGACTGGCCTCAGGCCCAGCCTCCTTTGTCTGCTTCAGGTGACATTTTTCCTTTGTTTCCTTAATTACTTGTTTCCTTTTGATCTACCTCCCCAAAGGGATCTTTTTGACAAGATTCCTGGCTTTTGTCCTCTCTGCTTACATCATCTTTAGGTTATGGCAGCTTCAGCCTAGTCTCACATTAGGTGAAGCCTGGCTTTTTGCACACAAAGTGTCACTCTTTTGTCAGCAACAGAGTTGTTGATGCAATACGGGGTGGGATTTGCCCCACAACTGTTAGTCACTTTCATGTCCCCTGACCTCCATTCTCCACCACATGGTATGTCAGCAGGCATACCAGCAGATTTTGCACTAAGTAAACATAGAGGACTCTCCTGATTCAGTCAGTACCACCCTAATGACCTGCCAGAATGCTGGGCTGGGGATCTGGAGCATTGCTTCTCCATCATGACCCCCATGTTATGAAATAGCCTTCCCTCAGAGGAAAGATTTCCCCAATATTGATTGCCTGCCTGCAGTTGATTTAGTTGAAGCGCTTCTGGAGGGCTTTTAGTTTAGTTTAGATATGGGATGACACCATCATGTGACTGCTCTGGTGTAGGGCTCCATTTTTTTAGAATGCTTCTGTTTATTACTGTTTTGTATTTACTGTGGGTAAATATATTTTTACTGTGTGTAAATACAGTATTGTGTGTAAATACAGTACAATTTACTGGGTGTAAATTACTATGGGTAAATACCTCAAATTTTGCAGCCAAATCCATCTGTGGATCAGGCCCTTATTTTTGTTTTTGTGTGGGCTGCATGCATAACATTCACAAGTATCAACAGGCCCTTTTTAAAACCCGGCTGGTATAAAATGCTAAAACCACAAAATACATCACAAATCAATCAGTCAAAAGATTGTTCTAGTCCAGAACATGGTGCAAACCCAGCCATTGAGATATACCTTTTTTTTACTGCTTCCTATGACAATACCAGTTTTTCACCTCAGTTTGTCCATTATGTCAGTAACTAATTGACTGGGTGGGCCTTCCTCTATGGGGGCAGATCAGTTGCTTTATAGTGGTACCTAACATTGTGATTCATTATTCTGTCTCTGAAACTGTCTGACTTCCACAGGAAGAGATGATTCCTGGCCGACTCCTGTTCTTGCAGTATGTGATACAGACCTTAGAAGATGACTTCCAAAGGATGATCAGGACTGATGTTCTGCACAGATCCATTGCCAAGGCAGTGCTTTCCTGTGACAAGTGCTTCGGAAATGTCAAGTAATTTGTATTTTCACTCACAGAGCAGGATCCTGGGGCTCTGGAAAAATCTCTTATTTCCAAATATGCTCCACTGCTTGGACCCATTGCTGCCTTTGGCAACAACAAACTTGTCTGAGCGTCAGCTAAAGCAATGGGGCTAGAAGGGGGGTGGTGGTGAAGCAAATGGCAGGTAGGGCACTTAATCCTCTCTCTTTCTGGCTTTTTCTGTTTCTCTTTTTCTTTCTATGCACATAGCAGGCTGCCAAATAAGAGACAGACTGCTCTTGTCCAAGGTCTGATTTGCTTGTATGCAAAGGACTTTGGGATTTAGGATGAGGGCTGCAAGTTCCCTACCACCCACCTAGAACATTATAAAAAAGAGTGAAGCCTCATTTGGACAAAACTGAATTGCATGTATGAGCGGGACTTCCGGGGAAGAAATGGCAAACTGTAGAAGGCTCTGTGGAAAGCAGAGTAAACAACTGTGGCGGAATGAAGAACCATCAAGTAGACCTGTTCTTTGTAATTCCTCTGGACAAGGAGAGAACTTGAGATCACCCACAAGTGCTCCAGATAGCTGCTCCTCACAAGGAGACCGCAAGACAGCAGTCTCCGGTGGATTTAGAGTTCTGGGAGATGAGAGAATAGCCATCTTGCTCAAACCACAGTCGACACCTGTAAAAGGACACCGGGTTTGCATATTTCCTTTCCTATTCACTTTTGGAAATTGCTTGTTAACTGCTTTTCAGTTATTAGGGACCTTTGGATCAATAGGTTTTACAGCATTGGGTGAATTTCAATCCTTAGTGAAAGAAGTTTTAAATACAAGTTAAAGGACTTTAAAAAAATTTCTGGAATAAACAGCAGAAGGGTGATTAAAACTTTGATTTTAGAAAGTTACAAATGGACTAAGAGTCCAGATAAAT